TTATGGACGATAATAACCCCTGGGAAGGACAATCGCATATATATATATATATATATATATATATATATATATATATATATATATATATATATATAAATGATTGTAAGCTGTTTTTTTTAAAGTCCCGCTGTTTTTCTTGCTGGTCTTCCCAGGACAGAGGTTTTTTTTCTGAACCAGTGATAAATTAAAAAAGTGACTTTCAATAAGTATTATTTATAATCTATATTGAATATTTCGTTTTTGGGAGGGTTTTAGGGCAAAGAAGTGTCCGCTGCGCTGCCCTAATGCGTGTTGACGAACTTCACGTCTTTGAATAAACGATTACCTACGATATTTTTCCTCACGATATTTTCCTTCACCGCCAAGCATACGGTAAATCAGCACTTAAAATTGCAATTAACAATTTCGTTGGTGCCGGCAGTGGTCGAATCCGGGTTGCTCGCGTACTGTGAAATTTACAGCGAGCGCTAACCATCTGAGCTACCACGGCTCTTTCAACCATGCAATCAATTAAATGTAATCATTTAAATTGTAATAAACTCTTATAAAGTATTTGTTTAATACAAAAATATACTTAGTAATAGAGAGACCTTGTATACTTTCTGAGACTTTGTAGTAATGTCTCCGTGGAGTCTAGTAACTGGTACTAACATAAAAGTGTATATTATTACTTTTTTAACTTATTTTTGTTTTATGATATAAAGTTAACATATTGATTTCTTTAAAAAAATCATTGACACCGTCAGTTTCTCTTTATAACAGGATCTAATAGCCTGAACAAAGATAGTTTCTAAGACAGTCATAATTTTCCCCCACCAACATTCCATTATAACATTTTAATACTATGGCATTAATTGAAATAAACAAAAATAGCAGTCTCAACAATACAGAGACAGTCTATTTTATAGCATAAGCTGCAGCGCTAAGTCTGCTTGCTTGTTAGAAGCTTTATATCTAGAGTTATTGCAAGGAAAATAGTAGATTTGTAGTTAATTTATCATTAATTTGAATAGCAACAGTACGACACGAATTAGTAAGAAGTAGGTCTTCAATATCACATTTACAATCATTTTAAAAAGATCTAATTACTTTTATAATATTTTTGACTGTAGCAACATTTTACAAAAAAAAATTAATATAATTTTTTAACATTTTAAACCAGTTCTTAGATACTATTCTACCTGATGGTGTGATACAGTCAAAAAATGATAAAAGGTTACTAACTTATCCTACTAAAAGCCTCTTCACTTTGTCTTCTTTTTGAAGACACCCACATTGTTATCGGATGGAAAAGCATATTATGGTAATAAATATTCTATTCCTTTGATGTACGCATGACGAACGACAAAGCAAACCGTTTATTTATTATTTATTTTATTCCGACTTTCATGCCAATGAGAAAACGTATCATGCTAAATATACACATTTACGTAGCTTTGTTACTGTGTAGGTGTACTATGAACGTTCTTATTCATATATAAAAATAAGAATGCGTAATGCTGATTTATTTTTCAATAAGGGTCTGTTTTATATCTAAACTAAACATTTTTTTCTAAGTTCGTCAAGTAAATGGCAAAAAAGCAATATTACTTCCAATACCAATTATCAAGTACCAATAGGACCGGTTTTGTCATTAAAAAACTTCCCTTTACAAGTCCGCTGCAGAACATAGGCCTCCCTAAGGAATTTTACAGGAACCGGGTATATACGAGCAGTAAATTTGAACATTATTATAATTTATGTGTATAATGTTTTTAAGTGGCAGAGCCATGCTGCTGCTATATTATGGTTGTAGCATAAATAGGTCAGCTCGACCGGGGAAGGACCACGCTCTTACAGAATACCAGTTTAAAAAATCAGCTCAATGTTTGCTGTGTTTCATACGACGAGTGAACTGAACCAGAAAACCTTTTTAATAGGAACCAGATATTCCATCTAAGTCCTCAGGGGTAATATCGCATCGGCATTATGACTCTTAATCGAGGATATATTCAGATGTCTATGGGCCACAGCATCTACTTACATTACATTACATCAGGTTTAATATGTGCTCGTTTGTCACCAATATTGTATAAAAATACAGGTACTATTTTAATTTCTTTCCGTGTGTTTGTACCTGGTGGTGTTTATACGTAGTCTATACATGGTAGAGCCATGCTGCAGTTAATTTAGTAGCATAGTTGTGTGTGACTGCCTCGTTGGTCTAGTGGTTGTAATAGTGCGAATGCTGATCATGAGGTCCTAGGTTCAAAAATTAATTATTGAGTTTTTCCGTCAAGAAATTCTCAGCAGTTGCCCAGAGTCAGTAAGTTGGCGGTGTATCACCACCGTGCCTCGGAAAGCACTTAAAGCCGTTGGTCGTGCGCCTGATCTCTCTCCGGTTGTGTCGGCTTACCGTCCCATCGGATTATGTGAATGAGGGAATAGAGAGTGCACCTGTGCGCATACACTTGGGCACTATAATCCTGTCCTGCGCGGATGGCTAGCCTCCGTTGAGGCAGGCCGCCGTGGCCGGAATTCGGTCTGGAGGACATTATTATTATTATTATTATAGTTGTAGCACGAATGGGTCGGCTCGACCGGGGACGGACCACGCTCTCACAGAATACCAGCGTAAAATAGTAGCTTAATGCTGCTGTGTTTCGTATGGTGAGTGTAGAGAACCGGAGACCCTTTTTACTGGAAACGAGGCACTTTATCTTAGTCCTCACGGGTGACAACGCATCTGCATTTTGATTTGTAATCGAGGATAGATGTAGATGAATATGGGCCGCTGCAACCACTTACCATCGGGTGGATGTGTGTTAGTGTGTTACCCTATCGTATAAAAAAATGTTGTTTAATATGGGTGCAGCACAAACTTCCTGATAAGCTGAACGACTGTCGTGTGAATTGATGATGATGCCAATTTATGATTTAGAAATTGAACACTGGCAAGAAAGAAATGTATTTGCTTTATATTGACTGCCGATGAAAAACGGCTATGGTACCGAAACAAGGCAGTCGAAAATAATATCGAGCTATAGGATGCGCTTACTCCAATAAAATTACAACGACAAAATTTGTGGAACGATTATACTACCGACTTTAAATTGGAAATTGTTATTATGCGTTAGAATCCGACCGTATTTTACATTTTATTAAAGGTAATTTTTTTAAAACCTTACAGTGTTATGCCCCCTTACAGATGGCATTTTTTGCTCAGCTTAACCCATTTGCTATCTCGTGTACTACATAATAGTTCACTGCTATTTTGGTATTTATTGTGTCTGAAAATTGGACAGTGAAAGTGCTTGAATCGGTTCATAAACATGGAACATATCATACAAAAAAAAAAAACTTACAGTCTTATTCTTTTTTTGAATTCGGTTAAATAATGGTCGCCTCGTTTTTTTGTAAATCGTATCGTTGCTATGGTAGGTAGGTACTAGAAGATCAAAAAATACCTAACCGCTAAGCTCTAGGTAATGTGACAGTTTATACCCAAAAATGTTATGCGCCTGATATGAAAACCGACCAAAGTCGACGACTAAGCAGCGCTACGCTCGTCTGTCAGAATCGAAACTCGACTTTTGAAGTTCACGTGATGTTAAGTAACTACCGCAGCCCATGATCAACCGCAACACCAGGGGAATTGCAGGTGCGTTGCCGGCCCTTTAGAAAGGAGTAAGCTCTTTTCTTGAAGGTCTTCTCGGTTCGAAAAAATCGCCGGTAGTAAATTATTCCATAGAGAGGTCGTACGCGGAAGAAAACTCCTAGTGTAGTGTAGTAGTGGATATGTATTAAAATAGATGTTCGATTATTGTCCTTAGATAAAGTAAAATTAAAGTAATGTGTACTTTAGTTGCTGCAGACTGATTTCTCCTTATTTTGAGAGGGGTACATGGAACAATTAGACTGCCGCACTGATGCTATTCGTAAAAATTAGGTGTCACTGCACCGCTTAGGGCTGCCTTGTTGGTTATCATGAAGTCCCGAGTTTGAATACCAAATCGGGCTAACTATCATCTACTGAGTCCCTCTGTTAAGAAATTCTCAGTAGTAGTCAGAAAGTTGGCGATGTTTCTTTTTGCGATCTCCTTCAGGTCCTGTCGGATTGCCGTCGCATTGGAATTGGAGTGAGCGAATAGCGAGTGTACCTTCATGTGCTTGCACATACACTCGGGTCCTGTCCTCCGTAGATGGCTAATCTTCTTAGAGAGTAGGTGCCGTGACTGAATATTCGCTCTATATCTGTAATCGTGTTATATATATATATATATATATATATATAGCTGATAAAATTGGTTAAGTTTAGTTGCTTAAATATATGTTTATTAATGATCTAGACAAAATCATATTCTCCTATGTGGAGTGCTTTTACTTTTACTGTTATTGTAAAAGAAAGTTAACATCGTGTATACATTTTGATTATTAATGTGAGATAGATGTAAGGGTCAGGGTCGTGGTTTCCCATAAGTATTCGTTTGCCACCCTTATTTAAAAAAATTGATATTTAAGAAATAACACAAATAGGCCCTTTATACTTCTTAGCGTATTCATATATTACTGATTAAGCAATTATTTTGTTATGAATAATAACTTTGAAAATTGTTCGGATTAATCCCAGCCGCCAAATTTCGTGAACGCACTACGCGGCAAACGTCCCGATACCATCCGCACCATCTGGATGCTTGGTGGTCCACCACTGTACGTTTTAAAAGGAGTTTTCTTCCGCGTACAACCTCTCTGTGGAATATTTTACCACCGGCGATTTTCCCGGACCGATACGACCTGGGGACCTTCAAGAAAAGAGCTTACTCCTTTCTAAAGGGCCGCCAACGCACCTGCAATTCCCCTGGTGTTGCGGTTGATCATGGGCGGCGGTAGTCACTTAACATCAGGTGAGCCGCATGCTCGTTTGCCCCCTCTTCTATATAAAAAAACTTTTAATAAGAACATATGAACATTTTTAAGTATTATGACAATATTTCAGTTTTATCTATTTGTTTTTGTTACAGCAGGAGTGTCTAGGTCGTTGGATTGAACTGGAGGCACAGTTGATGATGCGGGGTGGAGCGGTAGTTGGGACAACAGGACCTACGGGTCATGCACTGCTGCTTGATTGTAGATTCGAACCTCCTTTCGGTAAGTATACATAGAATTTCTTACAAATATATGCTCAACTTTATTTCTAATATGTACATGTATATCATTTCTCAGTTTTCAGGGCTGGCAACGCATCTGCATTTTCATTCTTAACCGAGGATAAATGTAGATGTCTTTGGGCCACAGCATCCACTTATCATCAGGTGTACTGTGTGCTCGTTTGTCACGCTTATTCTATAAAAAAATAGCATAATACTACTAATCCTATACCTTTAAACGAGAAATTCTTGTATATTTTATATATATATATATATATATATATATATATATATATATATATATATATATATATATGTACATATATAATCGGAATCTCTTAGAAAATGTCTTTTTGTCCGTGTTTTTAGGCAATGAAAAACTGCTACAATATCGTTAGAATAAGAAGGTAAATTTTGACAGTTTATTAATGATTACAAATAGCTTAATTGGTATATTGGGCGGTCACAAAATCGTAATACCATGGTTTGAGCCCAGACCAACCGGACCGACTTTTTTTAAATTTTTTTTTTCAAGTACCTTTCTTTTTTTGAGAAAATCTATTTTTTCGAGCCCTTTTTTAGTATTTTTGAAAAACAAAAACTAATTGCACTCATGATTTTTTATTCAAATAACCAGTTCAGTTTTTTCTATTATGTCGCTAAGATCAAAAAATATTATTCGTATTTCATCAGTATGTAATTTGTATCTAAATATAATTTCCAAAACACACGTATTAAAAAAAAAGCGAGCGAAAAATACCGAGCAAAGCTCGGTCAACCGGGTACTGATTTCTTATATTTACGCGAACACTACATATTGCTTAAAACTACTTTTACGGATTTTATCGCGTTTTATTTATTCTATTTTTAATACCCGACGTTTCGGGTGCTTTCCAGCACCCATGGTCACGGGGGACTGAGGTGACTAACGTCCCGATGTCAAAGTTAACACGGAGTTCAGCTTTTTTTAAATTATTATCTTTGGTCCGATCTACGCAGAATGAACTAACTCCGTGTTAACTTTGACATCGGGACGTCAGTCACCTCAGTCCCCCGTGACCATGGGTGCTGGAAAGAACCCGAAACGTCGGGTATTAAAAATAAAAGTAAATAAAACGCGATAAAATCCGTAAAAGTAGTTTTAATCAATAATGCAACTACTTAATAAAACTACTAATAAAACCTCTTAATGTTTGGCGTTAGAAATTATAATTACGTTTTTCGTTTTTTAATCTATTTGAATTCGAATTAATTAAAATTCGCAGCTTGCAAAGGTCACTGCTAAACATGTGCTTTTCCTGTTGCAAAACAGAATTGCCATTCGTATTGGCCTCCTCTTATTTCTCAGAAGCTTTTGGAGCAGGAAAAACTCAACGAACTTCCTCTTATGTTGGTTGACGTAGTTCTGGTCTTTCAAACGTAGTTTTTTATTTTTTGGATATGCTTTCATCGTGACGTTTTCCTTTACCAACATGAAGTAAATTAAATAGGCATTAAATATTTCGTTGGCGCTGGTGAGGATTGACCTCACAATGCTCGCGTACTATGTACTACTACTAAGTTTTAAGCTGAACGCACATTTGTCAGTACAGTACGCACCGTACGCGCTGTACGCGCCGTTTTTTAGAATTCGTTGTATGAAATCATATGAAAGCTCAAACATTGCAACCGCAACGTACGCGTCTTATTTTATAAAATGCGGTAGGTATTCGAGGCAGTGCGCTCAGTGCGTGCTGATACTCAGCGTTGTCCAATGTTGCCAACTTAATGGATTTTCCGCTAATATTGGTGGTTTCGACTTTCGTTTTGATATAAGTAATATATTTTTACTTCATTTTAGGAGTATTTACTTTTACTGTGTAGGCAACAACGAGTCGTCAGACAAGACTTTTTATAAATATTAATTATTTCGTATTTAATTATATGTAATTAAAAAAAAAAACATTAATCGATTTTCAATATGAAAGCCTAGAATTAAATTATTGAAATAGAATAAGAATTGACAATAAATTTTAATTTAAAAACCAAATTATACTTGATTACTTAATTATCAATAAAAATACATAGGTACATCAAACATACAAGTCTTTCGAAATGCAAACTTATAACCCTTGAGATGCCAAGGCTGAATTTGAGTATCATCACAGCCGAAAAGAAAATATCTTTGTTTTTTTTTATAGAAGTTAAGGTGACAAACAAGCATATAACCTACCAGATTGTAAGTAAATTCTGTAACTTACAGGCACCTTAATTTTTCCTCAATTGAAAATAAAAATACAGACGGATTGTCACCTTTGATGACTAAGATAGAATGTTGGGTAATTGTTGTTTGTAAAGTGATATGCCACGACAACGCGAAATAGTTTTTTGTAATAATTTTTAAATATTTTAAAGTGGTTATATTAGGTTTCTTTCAATTATCTAATTTTGTTTCCCATAAGAGCTATCTACAAAATATAAGAACCAAAATTATAAAAGTAACAGATTTTATTGTGTATAGCTTTAACACAATACAAAACCCGTGCCTGGTTTGAGATTATTAATAAATTAAATTTGGGCATACTGTGTAAACTTGCCCTAACTAACTCGCACCTGATGTATTATGAAAAATAGACCAATATAATGGCATCAAATAAACGTAAGCAAACATAAATATAGTATTGTACAAACGTTGGCTTTGGTTAATGTACGCATTCTGAACACTAGATCACGTAATGCGAATAAAGACAAATCGATTTTAACAATTTTTTTATTTTATTATACCTCCTTCTTTATCAGCCCATTAAAGTCTCTTTTCCAATTTTAGGGATTCCTCAAAGCTTTTATTTTGTAAGGATTCGCCTTAATCGTCATGCTTAACATGTGGATTAACGAATATATTACTTACAAGACTTCTGCATCATTAACGCTGTTATATCCGCCATCTATCGGAAATATTTCTGCATCTCCCATAGTCACCTTTTATGACACCCACGAGATGATATGGGGTGATATTTTTACGCCGCTACCTCACGGTATTTTTTATATAATATTAGAGTAACAAACTTGCAGTTCGCCTGACGGTAAGTGGCCTTTTATAGTATAGGGTGACAAACGAGCACACAGTCCACCTGATGGTAAGTGGTTGCTGTGGCCCATAGACATGTACATCTACCCTCTATTACGAATCAAAATGCAAATGCGTTGTCACCCGTGAGAACTAAGATGTAATGCCTCGTTTCCAGTAAAAAGGGTCTCCGGTTCTCTACACTCAATGTACGACACACAGCACTATTCTGCTTTTTTACGATGGTATACTATGAGAGCGTGGTCCTTCTCCGGTCGAGCCGACCTATTCTTGCTACAACTATACAACTAATATAACTGCAGCATGGCTCTACCACGTAAGAGTGCTACTGCAGGTAATGGACACTTGCTATGCTACTCGAATTCCTGCATATCTTACCAGGTCGTCATTTCATCTAGTCGAAGTCGCCCTACGCTACGTCTACCAGCACGAGGATGCCACTCGAGAACCTTTTTCACCATCGGTTGTCGGTTCTTCGAGCTATATGGCCAGCCCATTGCCACTTTAGATTACTCATCCGTTGAGCTATGTCGGTCACTCTGGTTTTTCTGTGGATATCCTCATTTTTAAGTTTATCACGCAGAGAAACCCCAAGCATTCACTAACTTATAAGTTTTATTTATTAAATTTTTTACCAACTTCAAAACGGAGGAGGTATTCAATTCGACTGTATGTTTTTTAATGTGTGTTACCTCAGAACTTTTCTCTGGTTGAACCGATTTTGATGATTTTTTTATTCAAAAGCTAGTACTTCTCGTGTAGTCCCATATAAATTTAATCAAGATATGATTAGTAGTGTTTGGTTATCCCTAATAATGCGTATTTAATTGACTATTTGTACGATATGTAGTCTTCGTATGTATGCGGGATAAACTCATGTAATATAAAATTGTCTTAATAAGTAACTGAATATAAATAAATAATTGAAATGTAAAAAAAATATGTTGTTGATTGTTTTTTGCAAATGTAATTATATTGCTATTTTTGCATCTGACAATGACAATCATTAACGCAGGAAAAAAATTTTACGTCATTTGTTAAGAACTAGTTATATTAGAATCTAGAAAGAAGAAGTTAGTTAGAAAACTAGTTATATTCAATGTACAGTATTTGAGTACAAATATGGAATCATTCATCATCTTTTTCATCGCCAAAGTCTCCACAATTCCACTGCTGAACCTTCCCCAAGGAATGTGCAGGCGTTGGGGACGTGTGTTATATGGTTATTAACGTACTTGTTACGTATGCCTGATAGTCCCGCAAATGACTCACAGAAGGTGCTAAAGGTGGTCTATCGGGTGCGGTTATTAAAATCTCAAAAGTCACTGATGTTATATTCAGAAATCACAATTTTCAGATCAACATATTTGCTATCGGCGATACAATATACTTCCTACTTGTAAGCGGCCTAGCGTGCGCAGTGACGGGAAACGACTGGCGTTCGCCGTCGAGCGCCTCCGGACACAAGTGCAGTTTCAATTAAGCAAAATGTATGTAACTACCGTGTCCCTACACCACAAAGCTTAGTCCTGAGCCACTTGGCTGAGGAATAACTTTGTAGTATTAATTGCCAACCTATTTACCAAGCGTGAAAACTACGGCAAATATCCTCCTTATGGGGCAACTATGAGGGGTGGCTATGTTCAGCAGTGGACTTTAATACGCGGTAACGGTAACGTTAAGAGACATGGATACCATACGTGGTGGCCGTATAAAAAATTCACCACCATATTATACTCGTACTAGGAATTAAGAATAAGCATAATAGGTGGTTAAACGATAATATAGCTCATTAGATTGCAATAACACTTTACTACCTTTAGTAATAACACTTTATTACCTAATTAAATGTATATTAAATAGCCGAATACTGGATACAATCGGTATCAAATCCAGTCCGAAAGAAAAGCTATTGTTAGTGATTTAACTCCTAC